CGTGGCCCCCCGCCCTCCTCCGTTCCAGTTCTCCGGCACCCCCGACGTCCCCGTGCATGCCCAGGGCCAGAGCCAGCTCTACAACGTGAGTACCCCCGCCCTGCCCCTGTCTGGGGGTCACTGGCGAGCTGTGAAACTGGGTGGTCCTGGCGTTGGAAGGTCTGCGTGCTCCAGTCTGGGGCCCCCAACCGGTGAACCCCCAAGCTGTCCCAAGCTGTCAGGGAGTTGCAAAGGCTGGAGGGAATGAGGGAAGCCCTGGCATCTTCCCAGTGGGGCACTGCGGACCCCCTGAGCACACCCCCCGCCCCTCCCCGCCTTTGCACTTGCCAGCCGCAGCCACTGGGCCCAGACGCTGCGTAGCACATAAGAAAGGCACGAGGCCTCTGGAGCGTCCTCTGAGACGATGATCCAGGTGGACTCGTTACTTCCCCTGGGAGGAAACCCGCACTCCCAAAGTCGAGGGCCCCTGCCCTGCTCTGACGCGTTCCTGTCTGTCCTAGGAGCTCAGCCTAGGGCGGAGAGAAGAGTATGATGTTCTGGACAAGAGACGCGGCCGCGACCCCGAGATGGGGGGCAAGCAGGTAGGGCCCGGCTCCTGGCTGCACCCTGCCAGACCGGTGGAGACCTGCCTGCTGCCGCCCTCCTGGGGGGGTTGCTCCGCACCCCAGGGGCCCGTCTGCGCCTGTCATGCCCCCGGGTCACATCCAGGCTCTATCCATCCTCTACGCTGCTCCTCAGCCTCCCTGGAGCCTCACCCCTGCACCACCACCCCCCATACGGGGAGGGCCGGGAGACCTGGGAGCCCGGGGTGGCTCTCCGGAGGGGGAGGCTGGAGGAGGCCAGAGTGGGATCCTCTCCTGAGCAGCGTGGGGGCTAGGCAGTGCGGCTCTGGTTTAGGGCAGGGCCCTCTGGGCCCAGTCAGCTCCCAGGGCCCTTTGAGCTGTCCTCAGTCCTTGGCCCCTGCTGTCCTCCCCCACGCTCCCCTCCTCTTGCCTGGGTAGCAGACCTGGCGAGGTGTGGGGGTGGCCCTGGCTGTTCTGTGCACCGCCCTCCTCCAGATGAGAGTGGGCCCCGTCTTCCTCAGTCTGCACCCCGACTTGTGGGACGCGCCTGACATGTCTGCACGAGCCAGGCAGCCAGTGCAGAGTCCCAAGGCCTGCCCTGGGGAGGTGGGCGAGGTGGGCCGCACCGGGGAGGTGGCCCGCGAGTGTGCCGGGCTCTGTGTGAGCGGCGGGGGCCAAGGCGGGGGGCACAGGGTGGGGCGGAGGCCGGCCGGGCCGCGCATGCGCACTCAGTCTCCCCCCCCCTTTGCCCTTCCCAGCAGAGGAGGAAGAACCCGCAGGATGGCGTCTACAATGTGAGCAGAGGGCACGCTGGTGGGCAGGGTGGCTAGGAGGGGGCATGGGGCTGCCGGGCTTGGGCGGTCGTCCCCGCTTCCCCGGTGAGGACGGGAGCGTGGAAGAGCTGGCTTCGAGCAGTTTCCCGCCGAGGCTTGTAGCCTGGGAGGGAGCCCCTGCAGGAGTCCGTGCCATCAGTGCCCCACGCCCCCTTCCCCAGGCGCTGCAGAAGGACAAGATGGCGGAGGCCTACAGCGAGATCGGGATGAAGGGCGAGGTGAGGGCTGCACACCCCAGAGGGCCCCGCGATGGCCGGTGGGCGCCAGGGCGGGGGCTACCCAGGGACAGCACGTGGAACCACAGCCTGGTCCTGATTTCCTGGCTGCCTTGGCCCATCCCTGCGGGTGGCGGGAGTGCTGGGTGCTAGTGTGCACCCAGGCTCGGCCCAGGGCGGGACGAACGCTGGGCCTCGTACGTGTTGGAGGGTGCAAAACGGTGCCAGGAGGGCCAGGGCACCCACGAGGTCACTGTCCATGAAGCCGGCTATCACAGGGCCGCACCCCAGAGCTTTCCTGCACTCCAAGGCCCCACATTGGGACACCCCGAAGGGACTGTGTCCACTTACCTTTAAACGCAACCACGTGGCCACGCGGGAGTGTGGGGCGTCGGGACTGCAGGGGAATGCAGTGTCCTGACCCGGCCTGCAGGGCAGGTGCTGACTCAGGCACCCCTGGGTTCCCGGCCCTTGCCAGCCGTGCCCCCTGCACTGTCTGACCTTCTAACCTTTTCTCCTCTCATTCCCTGGAAACCAGCGGCGGAGAGGCAAGGGGAGCGACGGCCTTTATCAGGTACGTGCCTGCCCTCCTTCCAGGGCACACCCGCGAGGGCAGGACTCCCCTCCCCCGTCTGGCGTGGCACCAGCTCTTCCTAGCAGCTGGGCAGGCCAAGCCTAGGGTGCCATTCAGGCTGGCCGTGGCTGCCAGCAAGCCCCTGAGCAGGGCTGAACCTGACCGTCCGGCAGGGCACTCCGCTCCAGACGGCGTGGGCACTGCCAGCCTCACAGCAGAGCCAGGCCGCCAGCGGGCGCTGTCTCCCAGGGCTCGGGTGGAGGGGTGCCGTGCTCTTGCAGAGGTCTTCTTCGCCCGCAGCCTCAGATGTGGGCGGGAAGGAGGTGTGGGCAGACTGAGGCAAGTCAGGAAAGTGACTTTGAGAAGGCAGTGCCCTCACAGCCAGGCGCCTGGGTCCTCCCGTCAGGGCAGATGACAGGCAGGCGCAGCAGCGGGCCCACTGTGTGCCCTAACCCCTGGTTCCCGCTGCTCTTCTCCCTGCCCGGACTCCGGGGTGTCAGATGTCGGGCCTAGTCCAGAGTGATGAAGGACCCGGCCCTAGCTGTGTGTTGTCTGTCACTCCCTGGCCCTAGACAGGCCACAGGCATCCACAGGTAGGGCGCTGCCTGCCTGCTCCGGGTGCACACCAGGTGCAGAGCCGGCAGGGGAGAGGCCCAGAGCTAGGAGAGCGGGCTGCTGCTCTCCCCTGGGACTAAGCCTGGCCTCCTGCAGGCGCAGGGATGGGGCCAGGTCTGCCCAGGGCACGCTCATCCCACCTCCATCCCTCAGAAGTCAGCTGGGCCCAGCCCTGGTCGCAGGGGAGGAGGGGTGAGGGGTTCCGGGCAGGGTCAGCCTGTGTCTCAGCTCTCCTGGGTGGGCTCCAGCATCTCCTGGGTACTGGGCACTGGTGGGCGCCACAAGGCCCTGGTGGGCTCCGGCCGGCTGTCGCGCACACGGCCAACCCACGCTTCCTTTCTGACCCACCCCGCCAGGGGCTCAGCACGGCCACCAAGGACACCTACGATGCCCTGCACATGCAGATGCTGCCCCCTCGCTAGGAGCCAGCCCCGGGAGCAGCACGCAGGACCCCGTGCCCTGACTTCTCGCTGTACAGTTCTGCCGTAGCCAACCGCCGCCCGCGGCCCCAGTCACCCGGGCAGTCAGGGAGCGCCCCAGGGCCACGGGCAGCTGGGCTCTCCTGGCCTGCTGGGCTCGGCTGGCAGGACCCTCTCACGGCCTGGCGAGCAAGCTCCCTCTCGCAGCTGTCAAGTGTGTTTCATGAAGTCCCTGGAGGACCCAGCCCCCTGCGCAGGTGTCCCCAGCCTGCACTGCTCTTCAGTATTCCAGTGCTTCGCGCCGGCTGTAAATCTGGCTTCCGTTGTACCGTGTCAGGGTCGCCTGTGATCTGGCCACGTGCCCTCGGTGCAGGGGCTGGGCGGAGGGGCAGGGCGCGCAGCCAAACGCGTGCCCAGGGCTGAGGAGGGAGGCGGTGGGAGGGACTGGCAGGGGAGTGGGCGGGAGGTTGGTCAGGACGGGGTGGAGGGGTGGGGACCCGGCAGGGAAGGGTCTCTCCAGACCTGAGTTCAGAGGACAGGAACCCACTGCCCTGGCCCTCAGAGGGACAGTGGGCAGTGCTCTGGCTGAGAAGCAGGGCGAGTGCCGCTGCGGGCCCTGGCCAGAGCGCAGGAGCAAGGCCACGTCCAAGCACTTGGGCCCTGGGCTCTGAGTTTGGGCGAGCCTCTGCCCCCAGGCCCTGCGCACACCTGCGGGACCCCGCGGACAGGCAGCAGAGAATCAGAGCTGCGAGATGAAAGGGCAGGGCCTCTGCGTGGGTTTTAATTTATATTGACCTGCTGTTTTGCATAATAAATGCTTCAGTCAGTGCGACTTTGCGCCTAGCTTTATTTCAGCAGTCAATCCTGCCCATAACTTAACAAACTTAAAATCAGGAACACAACACTGCTGCTTCTCAGGAGACAGCAGGACGGTCCCTGGGGACTGCAGGTGAGTGTCACCGAGCAGGCAGTGAGGCACCAGGCTGGGGGCTGTGTCTGGGCCAGAGTACAGTGCCAGGTGCAGGCGAGGAGAGGCCGCACAGGCCAGGCAGAGGGTGTCTCGACCACAGCAGCTGACGTCACCAAACCTGTCCACAGGCCGGGGGAGGGCAGCACTTTTAGGTCCATTTTTCCTTCCTAAAAGGCGTCCCCATCCCACCTCCAGCAGTACCCCCTACTGCAGTGGCCGTGCAAGGCCCTGACTCGAGCCCAGAGAAAACTGCAGACTCTGAAACCCAGACCTGGACTTGTTCAAAAAGGCCGAGGCCAAGGTCATGACTGTTAAAATTCTGGGAGCCGAGTGGTCCCGAGGGAGGGCACAGCACTGCCCGCTCATGGAGGCCCATGCCTGGCGCGGCCTCGTGGGGCCTCTGGAATGGTCTGTCCATCTACCACGGAGAGCCAGGGCCGGTGCCAGGCCTGGTTTCAAGGTCGGCAGAACCTCCGCGGCTGTGAGCCAGGCACGGCTAGCCGGGAAGCGGGGCTGTGTGGCCTCACTTCTGGGCGACTACGCCTGGGGAAGGGGGTCTCCGTGTGAAGTAGCAGAGGTGGGTGGGGAGAGCTGCGCTCGCAGGTGATGGAGGTGTGCCGAGGACAAGCCGAGACCAAGGCCAGGCGGGGTCTTGCTGGGGCCTCCGGGAGCCCTGCCTCTCCCAGGGTCTGGCAGCACCCTCTCCAGAGAACGACTGTCTCTGTTGTCCCAAGGCGCCACCGATGTAAGGGGTCCCCTCGACTTCCGTGGAGCAGACCCCCGCTGCGAGGCAGCCCTGCCCACGCCATGCCACGGCGTCTCGGACTCAGGGAGGGGAGGCACTCCCAGTGGACCCAGGTATCGGGCATATAAAGTGGGATGGGGACGCTCTACATCTTCCGGAAGTGCATCACTGCAGCGGCTCTGAACCCCGAGGCAGGGAGTCAGTTTCTGTCACTGTTTGTAAGATTCAAGGTTATTCCTGGAAGGAAACCGAGTTTGGCTTCCAGAGCCATGCTCAAATATCCACGTCAGGCATGGCAGAAGAGCAGAGGGAGCAAGAGAGCCACCGGGAGGGGACGAGGCGTGCGGGCCGTGAGCCCGGGCTGAGCTGGGCCTGCAGGGGTGCTGCTGCTCCCACTCCCACTCCGCGGGGTGATCTGTTCACAGTGATGCGGCTCGGCAGGTGCCCCTGGACGTGGGGAAAGGATAGCAGCCTTCCGAACAGGACTCCAGGACAGCGGGACCAGTTCACTTCCCTAAGTTCCTCAGTGTGTGACAAACAGGCCTGGCTTGCTCGTGTTTTCATTAGCCTGCCACCGTCTCTACTGGAGAATCTGGTCAAAACGCACTCTCTTTGTAACTGTCAGAGGGCGTGTGCACCTACCGGGCGACGGAGACACAGCGGGAGAAAGCAGCCCCGCGGGGACGTGTCACGCCAACTCCTCCACTCTCTCCTTCCTGGTGGGGCTCTGAGCACGCCCGCACTGACACCTGATAGGCTTTTTGGTCTGTGGGCCGGAATGCAAACTGTGACCAGCATGCGGGGCTCAGTTCCCTTAACCGTCGGCCCACGGGGCTAGCCTAAACTGGGATTACTAAACAGAAACTAAGTTGACAAACATAGGCGCCAGCTGTAAATCTAAGAGGGGGTGGGGTGGAAATGAACGAGAGATTCTTGGCACAGGGGCAGGGACGGGGCCCAGGGCTTGCCTCTCCTCCTGGTCCCTTACAGGATGGCGGCCCCATTCCAGATGGCAGCTCTCACCCTTTGCGGACCGACTCCGGGACACCCCAGACTGTCAGCATGAGGGAGGGCCCAGGGGTGTCCCAGAGTTCCCAACGAGCTGAACATTAAGATCCAAATCTCCCTTTTATGGACTGGACCAGGGTTTGAGGACACCCACTGTTGAGCAGTCTCGGAAGCTGTAGGAAGCCGCAGACAGCTGGGCTGTGAGCTGAGTCCCCTCACCCCCAACACGCACGCACGCACGCAGGCTGAACGTTCAGGACCCGCGGCCAGTGCTCGAGGGCGGGCAGCTCCAACAGCCTGGGAAGCAGGTCAGCCCGGCTCTGCGGTCAGCTGTGCGCTGGGATGGGAGCTTGGATGGGCTCTCGAGTAGGGCCCCGCGAGGCCTGTGCGTGGGAGACGACCAGTGCCCTGGTGACTGGGGGCCCACCTGGAGGGCTCCTGCGGGCAGCTGCGGGAATGTGAGGGAGCGTCCAGAACACCCGTACGGCAACTCCAGAGAGACGCGAACGATGTGAAAACACTTGGAAATGGTTTAATGATGTTTACAACAGAAATGAACTGTACAGTTACAGTCAGTTTAATATATATATAAAAAATTACAGCAGACAAATGCATCTACACAAAAGCTACCGTTGCGTTCCGATCCACCATCACCGGCACAATCTCCCCCGAGCCCACAGCCCTGCAGGCAGCCCCAGGAGGGGGCTCACGTAAAGGGCACTTTAAGGAGACAGCACCGCTCGTATTCCCACCACCTCCTCAGGCATCAGGAGGTGTCAGGTAATGATCCCCCCAAATGCAAAGTCGCCTGCTTCCCAGGGGCACCGAGAGCAAGGCCCAGCACCCCCAGCCACCAGCTGAGCTGCAGCAAACCTTCCTATCAGAGGGGAAGGGCTGCAGGGTCTCTGGGCAGCGAGGCTACACGGCCCCAGACTGCGAGGCCACAGCGAGAGAAACGTGCAGCATTCCCAGCAAATGCCCCGGGAACTGCCACTGCCACGTGAAGGCTGCCGGACGGTTCTGGAAAGAACCGTTTACACCACACCTTACATTTCCACAAAAAGAACGCAAACTCACATTTTAAAGTACATGAAACACAAATTCCGGGAGGCCAAGGTGCCCTCGTGTCCCTCCCTTGACAACAGTGGAAAAACACCCCTGAATCGACATAAAAAAAAAAAAAAAAGGAGGAAAGAAAAGGTGAGGGAGTTAAATATTTAAAGACAGAAAGAAAACATCTTTAGAAAAACACGATCACTGTCTCTTAAAAACAAAACCAAATCCCACCCGGGAACAGCCATCAGCAAGTACGCGCTCCGAGGCGTGGGAGTTATTACTGAGTATTATGCACACGCAGGACTTTTCATGTTCTTTATTATGAACACCTAGGCAGTGAGGACTGTTATGTTCATACATACATAGACACACCGAAAACATACAAAAATACTATTATTTCGAACTACTAGGAATAGGAGAGCTCAATTATTTCATGCCATGACTTGAAGAGCATTACACTGAAACAAACAAGAAGTTAAACGACATTTTTCTTTTTTTTAATATCCCAGAAATATACCAAAATATACATCTAAGCTTTGGAATTACTGAGGTTAGACTAATGCAAGTGCTGGGTAATCGTACTTAATACACAAGTCTAAGGTTCTGCAGGAGAGACATTATCTTTGGTATCTGCGTCAGGCTAATATTATTAACATTTGGATTTTGCTTTGGGATAGAGCTTGTATGACCCTAGAACCAAATCCCCCCTCCCCCAATCAACTGAGATTAAAAAGATCCATGTAAAAAGTTCCTTCCTGTGCACCCCCCGCCCCCCAAGTTAAAAAGTCACAGGCATCTCCCTCGCACAAAAGCTCGTGAGTACAATGCATAGTTGCACAGTGGTGCTGCCAGAAGGAAAGGAGAAACGAAAAGCTGATCATCTTTCGGCGTGTTTTCCCACGAACAGGACAGCCACTTCCAAGCGGTTCCAGTAAAGGAGAGAGAAAAAGGCTCAGAAGGGCCCCCAGCCCCAAGGTTAGAGCACCCAGCCGAGCAGCCGGCCTTGCCAGTCTTCAGCTTCCCCCATCTGTGGGCCCACAGGCTGCTGGCGGCAGCTCCATCCTGGGCCCCGGGCCAAGCCCAGGGTGACCCTGGTAGTGTGGGGAGATTCTGGTGCTGACGGGGTTTGGTCTTTTGTTTTGGAAAATCTCAAAGGCCAATTTGTTTCTGGCATGCTTTGCAGAAGGCCGAGGCTATGGAGCATGCACCTGTGCAAACCCCTTGCCTGCTGCCCTCTGAGCGGCCCCTGGCCTCAGCCCTCAAGGGGTCAGGATGCCACAGACTGAACTGACGCTGAAGACTTCCCTTTTCTTTGGTTTTTTTGTTTGTTTTGAGTTTATACAATCATTAAGAAATCTTTGGTTTTGGCTGGAAATTTAAAAAAAATGAAACAAAACAAAACAAAGAAACCACCTCCCCTGGCTTATAGCAGCAGAATTGTGACCTGGCTAAGCTTTTCCAACAGTGGGGCTGGGGACTGCAGGCTGGGAACTACATTCAAAGAAAAGGTGAAAGGGCTGGGGGTGCAGCTTCTCGAGAGCCCACTGGATAGAAGATTGTCAAATAATAATAATATTAATAATAATAATAAACTTAAATATTTGGATTTCTTTTTGGTCATGTCAAAGGAAAAAAAGTGAAATGTGTATGCAGCAGTCAGCTTACAGAGCCTTTGGTGTCCTCTCTTCCCTGGGAGTCCTGAACGTGACCGGAAGCCGAGGGCCCAGGGACGGATGGCCTCTGCCCCACCGAGGACGTCCACGCATCCCCGTGCAGAGTCTGCATGGGGCCCGCTGTCAGAGATACCAGTAGGGGTGCAGGGAGCTGGCGCCCCGAGAGGCAAGGGGGCGGGAAAGTAGACGTTGGAGCCTGTGGAGACGCCGGCCACACGGATGGGAGATTGCATCTGGCCTCAGTGTGCAATGACATTCAGAGGCGGCAGGCTGGGCAGCCCTGGGGGCTTACAGAAAGGTAAAGCAGGCGCTCAGACGAGCTCGGAATGAGGTATTCAACAGCTCCTGGGCTGCGGGGGCAGGAAGCCTTTCCCACAGCC